CATCAGGCATCTGCTCCAGCTCCCATCCATATCACCCTGGCCTCAGAAGCGTGAGCCTCCCTTAGTCCAAGGTCCTACAACCAATGTCAGTTAAGGAGGAGAAGCCATATGGATATATGCCCATGAGGTTTATGAACCGCATTGACCTAACCAGCCTGCTCAGTTCAGGCTGCTAGAACAGAATACCAGACTGGGTGGCTTCAACAACTAAACTATTCCTCAGTTCTGGAGGCTGGGAAGTCCAAGGTCAAGATGCCAGCAAGATCCATTGTCTGGTGACGGCCTGCTGCTTCCTGGTTTACAGATGACCATCTTCTCATTGTATCCTGACAAGGCAGAGAGCAGAGAGAGACGACCAGCGCTCACATCTCTTCTTCATAAGGGCACTAATCCCATTCATAAGGGCTCCATCCTCATGACCTCATGACCTCCCAGAGGCCTCATCTCCTAATAGCCATCACATAAGGAATTGGTTTCAACATATGAATTCTGGAGGACACCAACAGTCTATTCCATTGCCTTATTGGAAAAATAAATTTATTTTCTGCAATAAAATTTATCTTTCTCTTGTTCCCTCCCTTTTGATCTCACCTAGGTTTCAGCAAAGTACCATCCTAGCAGTACTGGCCACCTCTTGGCTATCTGTATCTATGCTTAAGTAGGTACCTCCATGTGAAGATGTTATTATTGACTTGAGAAAAAGAGGGAGGGGAGAAGGGAAGAGAGAGAGAGAAAGGAGCATCAATTGGTTGCCTCCTGTACATGCCTCGATTGGGGATCGAACCCATAACCTTTTTGGTGTAGAGCACGATACTCCAACCGAGCCACCCAGCTGGAGTGGTACTTCTGTACCTTTTATTATTATTTCCAATGTTTTTATTGATTTTAGAGAGAAGGGGAAGAAACATCAATATGAGAAACATTAATCGGTTGCCATCCACATGTGCCTCAACTGGGGATCGAACCTGCAGCCTAGGTGTGTGCCCTGACTGGGAATCCAACTGGCGACCTTCCTGTGCATGGGACAACGTGCAAGCAGGCGCACCAGCCAGGGCTCTGAACCTTTTATTACTGTGTCACTGCCACACTGCAGAGGATGGAGCTGCGCCTAGACTATCAACTTCTCAAACTTCCATGCACTTGTAAATATGAGCATATACTGAAACGCAGATCCTTCTTCAGTAGGCCTGGAACGCTACCTATTTTAAAAGCTCCAAGAACTTTGCTGCTGCCGATGGCCAGACCACCTTTGAGTGGCAATGACCTAGACACTGGCACATGAACAGTTCTTCCTTGATCACGCTGTGCTAAGAGACTTCCTTCCCAAATGTGCAAAGTAGATTCTGTACTTTGTGACAAAACTGTACAAAGCATCCAGCCGCACATTACACGTTACACACGTTACATACTGTAGACACCAGCTGTCTACCAATTTTCACTTTGCTTGGTTTGAATTTTCTGTACATGTCTGATTCATTTGGGTCTACTTGCTCCTAACGTAGCACTAACTTTTATATTTTTATATTCTCTGACATATACTTAGGCAAAATTTTCATGCCTACATCCCACGTTATCTTCTTTACGGACTCAGGGACAGATATTTGTAAAAAAAAAAAGAAAAAATCCCTCCATATGCATCCTGACTCCCACCTCTACCTACCTCATCAAAAACTCACTCAAGCAACTATCTACTTTTGCTCATCAGCCTCCTTCTGTCTAATCCCAAATTCCTAGTCTACAGTAACAGTGATAAATTATTTCATGAAATTACACTATTTAAAAAACAAATTTAGCCAAATTGGGGGTGGGGGGGAGTTAGATATAAAAATAATTAACAACTTAAACCTATTTATATATTCCTAACACAAATTTTATAATATTTCAGACCAAATCCCCTCCAAAGTTTCACTAACATGTTAAAAATCTCCTAAAAAATTGTAATACTAGGCCATTAAAAAGGCTATTTGTCCATATGACATGAAAGCATGTCCTTTATAATCTTTTTGGATCATAAAATAACTATTAAAGAATAAATTCTTAGCACTAGCTGGTTTGGCTCAGTGGATAGAGCGTTGGCCTGCAGGCTCAAGGGTCCCAGGTTCAAGGGTCCGGTCAAGGGTTGCGGGCTCGATCCCAGTAGGGAGCATGTAGGAGGCAGCCAATTAATGATTCTCTCATTGTCTCTCATCACTTATGTTCCTAGCTTTCCCTTCCTCACTCAAATCAATTAATTTAAAAATAATTTTTAAAACTTTTTTTTCCAGCATGAACATAGAAATGCCCCTGGCCCACACTTTACTCACTCTCTCCTGCCTGTAGAACCCCTTGACTGCCTTGCAAATCATTTCGTTCTGTGGCTTCCTCTCCTTTCTAAGGAGAAATGGCCTCTGTCCTGCACGCTGGCTCCGCTGGCTCGGGCGCGAGGACGGACAGCGATGAACACGTTTTCAGCTTGCTTTCCCCGGGCTGATGCAGAGCTTTACTCAAGGTGTGTCGTAAGTATTTGTGAAATAGTATTTCTAGTTACTTCCTAGGCAACAACTGACTAAATGATATGCTCTAATTTTACCCATCCTGTGTGAGTCCTGCTTAAACCATCGTCTCCATTTTGCCCTCCAGACAGTATCTGAGCCATGTTTGGTTGTCACAGCTGGTGTGGGGGTGCTACTGGCATCTAGTGGGTGGACATCAGTGATGCTGCTGATGCCCAAGATAGCACCCCCCAGTGAAGATTTATCTGGCCCAAATGTCGATAATGCCATGGTTGAGAAGCTCTGTGATAATCGTAGTTTCTGCTCCTTTTAACCTTTTGTGACTTAAAAGGCATCAGAAACCTATGTGGCTGCAATTTTTTGTTTCTTATTTGGTTTTTCAACATTAAGTTCCCTTGTTTGGAAAAACAACCCAAAGAGGTATTAAAATGGCCCAACCACAACGGAGTGTAGCACGATGTGTAGTACGGCAGAAACAGAGTCAACTACAATCAAAAACTGGTCTAAAGACTTTAGATTAATAAGTTTTATTCATTTGGTGGTACGTGATGCTCACATGGCACCATACAACAAATTTTAAAAATACAATATGAAAAAAATTGAACAGCCAAAGAGATCAATTCCATTAGAGGGCTTACAGAAAAACCAACAAGAGCCCCCAGAAAGACCCACCCACTGTTCCCTTAAGAACATTAATTTCTTCCTGTTTAAGTTTGGCTTTAAGAAACACCAAAAGAAAGTGCAAAAGGAAGTTTTTGAAAGATAAACTTCACATAGCGTCTTTCACGTGTCACAAAATGCTTTCATTATTCAACAAGCATATAAAATAATGCAAATATCTGTGAGCCTCTATTTGGTCCAAACTATGAAGGTCGTAGCCTTCAGTATTTCCTTCATCTCTGTCCTCAAACTATTTGCATCAGTAAAAAGTCACTTAAGGTGGCTAGTAGTCTCTTTTGCTCCACAGTGCCTCTGTCTGCAAAGCATTGAGTTTCCATAAAAACATGGGCCCAAGCAAACTGAAGTTCTAGAAGTACTTGAAGTGAAAAAATATAACTAAATTCCCCTAAGACTGATTTAAAATCAAATTTTGGCTTTGAAATCTAATTGTGTTCATTTTCATGATTACTAATTACTGAAGGCCATCTGTCAGAAACTATAGAGAACAGCAAGATTTAAAGTTGCAAAAACTTCTTAGAAAGATGACTTTGGAAATCGTGTTTTAGTACATACTGACCTGTTGTCATAAAGTTATTTTATACAAGGAACATAAGTTACAAATTCTTCCTGGAGAGTCAACTAATGCTCAATGATTTTGTAAGTCAGCCAATTACAAACTGTTTCTCATGTAACTTTCAAAACAGGGATCCTGGATGTTAGCAGGTCAAGGAACAAACCTCCTAGTCCCCATGCGATTTTACTTACAGTGGCAGTCTCCCACGCATGTGCTGCTGCAGAATCTTAGGTCCCCTTAAGAGTTCACAGAAGGGCTAGCATAGGGAGACAAAACAAAACAGCCATGGGTAGAAAAGGACAAAAGCCAGGAAATTAGGAAAAGCTAAAAATATACTTAAAGTACTTGCCAAGTAACACTAATTATTGCCTAAATGCTTGGTTCGTCTAGAACTTAATGGCATTTCAGTCTATGCTTGACCCCTAATACACCAATTCATCTAATTACTAAATGCAAAACCAAGCAGACATTTCAGCTGCTGCAATGGTGTATCATACCCCGGAATACGTAACATGCACCGAGGTGTCTCGCACCTTCCCCATTATACTGCATTAAGGGCCAGGGCAAAGGCACCTTTGCATCCCATACACTGAGCACAGTGGCTGGTGCACAGTAGGTGCTCAGCAGGTATATATTGAACACATTGTTTAGTGGCTTATGACATGGAAGAGCCCAAAGACTGGCTGATTCTAGTAGCATTCCTTAGGTAGCCTCACTCCCAATAGGTAGAAAGCAGTCTTAGAAAGATACCTTCTCCACTTCCTAAATGCACACTCATCAACAGCTGGACATGACTTGAATCACTTTCCTTAAACGTGTTCATAAAGCATTTTGAGAATTCAAGAGATGAAAGGCGCTATGTAAGTGCAAAATAATAATATTCAAGACAGTTCAGCAAAGGTGATATATTTTCTATGGTGATGGAACAGTTGTGCTAATTTGAGATGAAGACCCCAAAAGCTACTCTTCTCATTGTCATTATCAACAGAACAATAACATTGGACAAAGACGCCATATCACTTTATATAGTTTATATTCTGCTACTTTCTATAAACCAGGTGACAGAAAATGAAATTAAGCCATTTATTCTACACAAACCAATACTTTATCAAAGTTCCTGCATTTTACAAGTCATGTTCAAAAAACACACACAAGTTAGCATTTTGTACACAAATGTTTTATTTCTCAAACATTCCCTTTAAACACAAGGAATGAATTCTAAATCTTCATAAAGATGAATTAAAAATGAAACCACTTCAGTAAA